AAAAAAAAAAAAAAAACAAAACCAACAATAATAATAGTAATAATAAGAGTAATAATAATAGCCAAGTCAAGGGTTGAAGGACGTCAAGCACAAATATATACGATATTCGAAAGTAATCTCTGCATACTCTACTCATTCATTCATTCATCCTGTTTGAATGACTATCTAACCCAACAACTTCTTGTACACGCCTACTCCGTCTTCAGGACAGCCACGCTCAGATTCGGCAGGCTGAAGTCAAACACGCCGTTGGCGCCTGCCGTCACGGTGGAGGTTTTCTTATCAACGATATCAGCAACTCCCACTTCGTTCATACCCAGTGGATCTGCGGCGGTGAGCACAGTGAGGCTCGCACTGGTACCAGCCTTGACACCATCAAAGGTAAGAGAGACGGGCACATCAGCGGTGCTGTTGTAAACGGCGGCCTTGAAGATATGAGAGTTGCTCGTGTTGTCAACACCGGCGACGTAGTAGAGAGGTCCGAAGCTGGAGTTTGATGTTGTGGGGAGGGTGTGTGTGAAGGAGTTGTGGGAGAAGAGCTGTTTTTTTTCGTCAGTTAAAAGTCCTAAGCCATAGTAGGGAAATGGGTGTATTTGTATATACATACATCGTAAAGGTGCCAGCTGGTCGAACGCGCCGTCTCATCTGGGTTTGAGTTGAAGGCGAGGAAGGTAGGGGACCATTGGTAGTTGTCGAGGTTCATCATAAAGGGAGCCTGTGACGTACATTAGTTAGTTGACCTTACTGTGAGCGACAGGTTGGGGGTATCTCGATGATACTTACGTATGTTGTTCCAAGGACTTTGTCGGCGTTTCTTTCGGCACCGATGAGGAAGACTCCTTCTGCGACGCTACCGATCCACCATGGGTACTGCGAGAAATGGTTCGAGGTGCCCCAGACGATTTCGCGTCCGTTGAGCTGAATTGCCGCGATCTCGCCTGTTCGTATTTCATAATTGTTAGTGAATGAGGAAGGGTGATTGGCTTGCCAAAGTGGTCTAGAGCCAGAACTTACCAAGTAGGATCGGGTGGTCGGGGCTGTACTGGTCGAAGAAGTTGAACTTCTCGACAAAGTTGTCTGGCGTATCGTACAGATGATAGTCACCGCCTGCATCGCCGGGGAAGTCGATTTCTACGGTGGATGCCAGGACGGTGATGTCTGGGTACTTCTCCTTGATGGCGTCGTAGAAGGCCTGGAAGCGGTAGGATTTGTATGAATCCAATCCGTCGTTTAGGTTATCTTCGTTGCCGACTTCGACATACTTGACGGTCCATGGGTCTGGGTGGCCGAGGGATGCACGGAGGGCACCGTATTCGGTATCGACGGAGCCGGTGAGGAATTCTAGCTCGTCTAAGGCATCTTGCACGTATATACCAAGCTCGGATTCGGGGATTGCGTCGCCGTTCAGTGCGAATCCACCCCATACGGCAAGGACTGCAGACTTGTTAGAGAAGTCATAACTTTTGGTGGTAAGCGACTTACTGGGCTCGACTCCAAGGTCTTCACACCATTCCATGTATTCGACGAGACCTAATCCGTGGGTTTCTTGGTAGGACCAGGTTGTTGCACGGCCTGGGCGGTCCTTGAGAGGTCCAATGGTTTCGTTCCATTTCCATCTGCCATCAAGGGTATCGCCCTCGAGGTTGTTGCCACCTGGGAACCGCAGGAATTTCTGATTTGTTAGCATTATCTTCCTATTAGATAGAAGCATATTGACATACAGGTCCGAAGTCGGCCATCGCTTGCATCAAATCCCTGCGAAGCCCATTGGGACGGTCGTTATATGTAGGAGGGAACAGGCTGATTAGGTTAAAGTCAAGGGAGCCATCAACGGTGTTCTACACAGTCAGTATGGGTGAATCTGCCGGCCATTAAGGTATCCACTCACAGAAGCATCGAAAGTAATAGAGAACGTATTCTCGGTATTTGAGGCAGCCTTGGTGGGGGTCAAAGTAAAGTTATGCTGTGTCCATTCGCCGCGAGCACTCTTGGACACAATGACAGCACTGGCATATACCTCACCAGTCTTATTGGACTGGAGGGAAGCTGTGAATGTTCCGTTGTAGGCACCCTTCACGTAGAAGGAGCCGGTGTACGTCTGCTCTCTCACGTCGATACCCCACCAACCCAAGTTGGTAAGACCGGCCTTTCCTGTCGTTCCTTTGACATTAACTGACGTGGGCAGTGCAGATGACAGGGGTTGACTGAGGTTCTTCAGAGACAGCGCCGATCCCTCGACTGGGATCCAAGCATCCAATGTGGAAGGGTATTTCTCGCCTCCCTGGAACGCACGATTGCGAATCAGCTCCGCATACAGACCCCCATCACCACAGTAGTTAATTTCCTACATAATTATCAGCCACCATAACCCATTGAACCCACTCGCGGTGGGGACCTTACCTCTTCCATGATACCATATTGTAAACCGCTAGTGGCATTACCGCCAGACGATGCAACGGAAATCTCAACCGCTGCACTGCAGGCTGCCAGGAGGGGCAGAAGGAAACATTCGCGTAGCATAGTGGCTTCTCCCCTACGAGGGCGATGGGTACATGCACTCTGCCGATCTTATTCCCGTCCAGTGCTTGACCCCGGCCAGTGAACCCCAGACAATTTATATCTGTTTTCTATCCCCCACCCCAACGGAGTCTACTCAATGACAAATCCCGTTTTCCGGCAATTGCAGACATGCCGAAGAGAGTCTGCTCGCTAAGAGACATTATTCCCTGTGGAGTAGACCATGACATTTGAGGGATTGAGGAACAAGACTTCCGCTTCTGGTAAAAGTCCTTGAGGGGTATGCAGGTAGACAATGAAGTCACAGCTTCATGCAGGACGATGGTTTGACATTTTGCCGAATTGCATGATAGTGTGTCGAGGAGCGACCATCGAGCCAGCATGCATTTTCAAGGAATCTGGACTCCTCGGCACGTAAAATCAATAACATGTTTAGTCCGTGTATACATCGTATCATGTATTGTTCGACTTCATGACTTTATCCAAGAAAACCCGCTCCTTGAAACATTGAAGTGGAGAGTGATGTATTCAGCAGGGATAAAAACTGCGGAGGTCCCCCGCATCACAGAGATCATTGCTGTTGTGATCGTCTCACTCGTGCCCAAAACTGGGCATAGGATGGTGCATTGCACGGAGATTATTTTTCCGCCTTCAACCGCAGGGCTATTATTGCCGTCAGGGTTGCATTGAATTAATTAATGTTGATGCCTGGCGGTTCTGCCGACATTTCTCCGGGCTATTTAACAGACCACCATTCTATTCCGGCCCATCTGGAGATCTCAAACGAGGCAGTGGTCGATGTTGCCATCGACCTTGGATGTGCCTGAGGGCATTGAGCACTTTGATCCTATGACGTCTCGTTGGTAACGCCATCCATTTCGCCTCCGAAAACCCATGCGTGATGTCGTCCATGCGGCGACCTATCGCAGGGTGATTGATTCCCACCATGGCATTCCGCGAAAACAGCCATGAGTATTGGGGGCTAGCTTGTCTCGTAACGAAATCCATGTCCGCCCTTTGCATCCTCAGGTGATTCCTCAACCTAGGATCGATGAAGATGTTCGGTCGCGGGCATACAACAGGTCCATAACCTAGTTATCTGATCGAATACCTTGCTAAACCTCCTTACCTGGCTACCATCAGGATAGATGGATGTGAAGACATTTGATATACTGTCGGGCAAGATGAGAGGTTGAGGTTAATGTGTGGATGGCCAATCGGATGAGCCCGTGACACCTTATATTCAACCTCTCAGTGGCCCTTGTCTTCAAGAATCTAAACATCTTACCCTGTTCGCAAAATACCATCTACTGCTACACTTCCAAGCTAGGTGGGCACAAGCTTTCTGGCGAGAAGAGATAGCAAGGAGAAAAAATAAAGGTCCAATTGAAGACTATCTCCATACTGCAGATGGACATGTTGATCGCACTCCACGATCTACGAAGACAATCGATCGTAAAACAATGCTCCCTTCGAAGAAACACCGACGCAAGAAGGAAACAAAAAAAAAACGATCCGCAAGAAATGAAAAGGTCATCGAACTGAAAGCGCCATCCAGCTAAAGCAGGTCTCTTCCCCAATCCAGCACTTTGTCCTGGAAGCCATTATCCCCAAGTAAGTAAACATGATTGATAAAAATCGGTACGGTCCACGTTGTTCAAGGGACAGACCGACAAGGTCAAAGGAAAGCGAAATAAGCGAACAGGGCTGTACGCCGAATCGCGACAGTTTCAGCGCCTCCTGGCGCCCTCACCCCAACCGGCTATCCCGCACGCAATGGGTAGGTATTATCGTATCATCGAGGTCATATACGGGTCGTGAAGCTTTAGCACATTTCGCAGCATTCGATACATTCCATACAGCATTCGCAACTCTCTTCACACAGGAAACAGCAACAAAGGGTGGCCAAACTAAAGGAAAGATGAAAATTAGCACCATGCACGAGCAGATACCCGAAGGAGTACTCACCAAGCACCAAGGCAGCCGTGACTTTTTTTCTCCTGCTGCTGTGGCGGCGGAGGCTGCTGATATCCCATCTGTTGTACGACCGTCAGCTTGGCGCCCTGAGAGACGGTCCGGAGTCGTAACTTACGGGAGCTTGAGGTGCGTATTGCCCGGGAGGAGGACCCTGAGGAGGGTAACCACCGTACTGTTGGGGAGGGTACCCGCCCTGAGGAGGACCGTAGTTACCGGGGGGAGGACCGTAGCTGTATAGAGGCCGCGAGTTAGAATGAATTGTGAATAACTTGGGCGGCACAATCGTCGAGTCTTTCCTGTCCAGTCTGCTCACTCCACGGGGCAACCAATGGAGGACATCGGACAAGACCCTTAAAACCGCGCCTTGGCCAGCTGCAACGCCGTAGCCTCCGACACCACCTGGATAGAGATCGCAAAGCCGGTCGCGAATATGGATAAGAAAAATCGGGTGACATTGGAGTACTTACGCAGGCTGGGGAGGATAGGGGGGCTGTTGTTGGTAACTCATGATGATAGATCTCTGTGGGCAGAACGATTGTCGCACCGGTCAGTATGGACTGATCAAATCAAGCTTCAAATGATGGAATCGGTTGAAGAAGAAAATTAAGATGATGGGGAAGAGGCTCTCGTGGGCACGGTAAGGGCCAATGAAAGGGGGTAGAGGGTACCTAAGAAATGCCAAGTACGAACGGGTCGAACAAGAGACAAGAACTTGAAGGGGGGGGGGAAAGGAAAGAGAGAGTAAAAAAGTGGAATTAAGAACCAACGGGGGAGAAAAGCTGACGACAAGGTCCGAAGCGGAGAAATTCAAAATAGGGAATGGAATTGAGAAAGAGGAGAAGCCGATCGCCCCCGTGTGGCTCAGATTGCACTCTTAAAAGATTGAATCCATTCCAAATTAGAATTTCCAGAATTTCTTTGCAATTCTCACCCAAGAAATTTCTTATCACTAAGCACTTCTAGTATACCCACTAGGAAGAATTCGATGTTTCCACCCTGACTACCTTGTCCTCAACCGTCAGTCTCAGGCTCTCAGCTGCTTTTCCCGGCATTCCGCATTGGGGCTGGTGTGAATCCTGCCCGTGCAAACTTTGTTATCACTGACTGGCCCCCATTTAACCCACCCCCTTTTGTGAGTATTTGATTCAACAACAACAACAACAACAACAATCCTCGGTAGTTGAGAAAGTCCGTAGCACAAACCCGTCAGACAATATAATTCACAATAATGAGCTGAGTTACTACTAGTACTACATAGTTCATTTACACAGCCCCCTTTCCACAGCCACAGCCCTACAGGGACCCCATCGTAAGAGACCCGAGTTCCGAAACCCCCTTCCTCCCCCACTAGCCACAACGCTCCCATTGGTTTAACAGACACTCAACATCCATCTCATTGGTCTACGTCCACCACCATCATTTTCACTTCTGTGGACCCTTTCACCCTGATAGGAGACTTCGGAACAGACAAGCCACAGCCATCGTGTCATTTTTAATTAGAGTGGCTAGTCTATGCAACAACCGGTTTCAATGACATCTGTCAGAAGGCGCAGCACTCTTGCAGAAACCTTCATGATGAGTTCTAGAACATTTTGTAGATGTCCATACGTAGGTTCCAGACTGTCCAAAAAAAGGACTTCTATATTGAGTATTCGGTTGCCTGGAGATTTATTTAGTAAAGAACTTCATGTAAGAGGCTGGCAAAAGAAGCTTCAGTCTCTGCAACAGTTGATCTCATGATCAGAGTCGCTACGAACGGCTGATCTGGCCCGAGGCAGAAACAATGTTCAATAAAACGGCGGCATTCACGTGGCTTGGAAGCCATGTCCATGTATACTTGGTTGCTTCCAGTTATACGCCTCTGTTCCCTAAATTAGCATGGTAGCAATGCCGTGAAACGGCTACAGAGTAAATGCTCAAGGTAATGCGACCAATAATAAGGGTCTATACCATTATGTCTTTGCCTCAGTTTTTGCTAATAGCCTTGGTTATATTGTAGTAATAGGCTGGGACTAACGAGCCTTATAGAGATCTAAAGGGAAGACGGGCACGGAGAGAAGACACTATAGGGATAGAACCGACGAATCGCTGAACAAGTGAAAAATAAAAGTCTCATAGTTCTAATCTCGGCCCATGATAATGCTTCCGTGCATATGCGAACCAGTTCGCGATTCCAAGAACTAACATTGCGACGAGCACCACGGAAGTGTAGTCTAAGATACAATTAGCATATTTTCCCCGTCAAAGAGCAGAAACGGACAAAAGTAGATAAATGGAAAACAGCATACTCATATTTCCACCTGTAGCTGGCAACACAGTTGGAAAGGAGAAAAAGACAGTCAACACAACAGCCCACACAATCGTTACTATGTTGGCAATGTACCCAACTGCATTTATTAATTTGAATGGTCTCGATGAAGGGAGATAATCCGTCGATCGACGACGATACAGAAGGAGTGCGGAGGGGATGGCGTAGGATATTTGTGCGACGACAACGGTTGTACTTATGAAGGCGTTGAATGCTGTTGTATTGTATATTAGCACGCAATGTACAGAATAAAATATACACGAGTGTGACGAGGGTAGAGTTGTCATACCGTTGGAGGAAGCAACATAGACAACTCCCAGTAACAAAACGCACAGCCCATCCAGCAGGATTGCGTATACAGGCACCCCGAGAGTCGGGCTCACAGAGGCCAACTTATTCGAGTAGAAGAGCGCTTCGTCTCGGGCAAAAGACCATGTTAAGCGGGATGACGTTTGGTGCACTGCATTTAGGGCAATACAGGATACGGTGAGCATGCAGGCCATGAAGATCGTAGCTGCTACCGGGGAGTGGGTGGCCTTTTCCCATATAAAATAGATTGGGAATCTGGGTTTCATTGGTTCATGTTAGAACGACGCTACATTCTGGTAGACCTGGAGGAGTTGGAGCCGACGTACCCGGTTGGTGTTGTGAGGGAGAGCTCGATATCCTTGTAACTGTAGATTATAGCGATAGAGAAGGGAAATGCGGTCAGAAACCCCACGATAACAGTAACAATGACTGCTTTTGGGACAATTCGTTCGGGTTGAAGACATTCTTCGGCGAGATGGAGCGTTGCGTCGAGACCAGAAAGCATGAATTGAGGTGTTGAGAGGCCCGTCAAGAAGGAGATGCCGTCTGGCCACCCGCCGGAGCCGTTGGCAAATTGCGTCCAGACGTGTGAGGAGTCAAGTTGGATGGAGGAGCGAGCAGGACAGGTGATTGTTATGGCGAGAAACGTGGATATGGAAAGGAGGACTATTTCCGTTAGCCTTTGTCATTGAATAGGTGATGTTAGAGGATAGATAATCGGGGTACATACAACCAAGATTATAGACCCATAATGTTTTGTTCGTGAGGAGTATATTATAAACAACCATGACAGCATTCATCGCTTGATACACGAGGAAATAATGCCAAGTTTCAGGTTGATATTCCGGCCGCCACCGGATTATAATGGCCATGAGCACATTAGCTGAGGACAGTGCAATGGATGCACTCAGTGTAATCCATGAAAACACAGCTGCCAGCCCACTAGAGTATGATAAACTGCGGCTCCAGCGACTTGTAGCCAGGATTGAGGTGAAATGATATTGCCCACCTGCAGTGGGGTAGACACTTGCAAGTTCAGCAAGTGTCAGTCCTGTGCAGAGCATAATAGCGGCAACGAGAATGATTCCATAGAGCAAGGTCACCGCTCCGCCGGACTGGATGGCGATAGCGAAACTGGCCGCGATGGCAACCCAGCTGTTGGAGATGTTGTAACCTACCGCGATGATGCTGAGTATGCTGAAATTTTGCTTCATCGGCGCACTAGGGAGGCCTGTTACGGCGACTTGGCCGTTGGAGAGTTCGATAGAAGGAGTGGAGAGGTCATGATTGGGTTTGTGGTCTTGTTTACTCATACTGTTATGAGAAGTGAGTTGATAAATTGTGAGGATCGTTTAAGAGTGTAGATATATTTCATTACATTTCTCCCCATATCGTTCTACACTAGGCCATTGAAGCTTACGATTGATGGAGTTGACGTTAGGGTTTCTGGTCATGCGTTAGTAACGATATCATACCCTATCAAGATAATGAGCGATACTCGGAACGCTTATCGAATTCCGAGCTGTGTTTATCAACGCTGCATTATCTTAGTTCTTGACAGGCAGAAGTGTTTTCCGGTCCCTCTAATGCATGATTATAGCGGAATTACGGCGGAATTGATAGCGGATCGACGTTGAAGAAGCTCTGCAGAGTAAGTAGTGTGACCATTGAGGCTTGAGGATATTTTGGCCTAATTGATACTTCCCCGCATTTCCAAACCCCGGATTAAGGTTCATTATCACTTGAGGTTTATCTATTGGTTCTCCTCTCCCTGGGAATGGGATTTCTCCGCATTGCGGAATAGATACGAGGTAGTGTTGCTATGGGTCAAAGTACAGCGGCAATCGCCAATGACTGTCTGCAAGTTCTGGTAAGGCTGATCTGCCATAAAGTTTATGCCATCTCTGTTTCTATTGCTGATAGACTTTCTGTTCATAAGGCTACCGTTCACACCTAATATGTTCTCCAGCATGGAACTAATTCCGACACCTTGTCCAACTCCACCTCGTCTACCTCCTTCGGACCTACCTTTACATTTTTCACCTCCGGTGTTGAGTTCAAGACTCACAGGTGACTAGCCCTATATAACTAGCCTTCCGAGATAGGCTTACGCATTATTCGCACGGTGTAACCCTTTGCCCTTCGTGAAAAGTGCAGCGATTGTAGCCACAAACCCAAAGCAAGCCGAAGCCATAAAGGACAGTCGGATACCCCGGTAATATACCAGTCTAGCGGCCATTTGGATATCCGGTGGTAGGTCATGTATAGCCGACACCGAGTGTCGGATATCATCGATAATCTGGAGTTGTACCACACAATGATCAGCTATCGCTCAACTAGCCCCTACTCGCAAATAAAGGGATGTTACTTTCCATTTGTCTGGTACTCCACTCAAGGCCTCATCGAGGCCTGAGCGCAATGTATTTTGTACGATCGTGGATGTGATCGCCACACCCCAAACGGTGCCGAGTGAGCGCACCAGGTACACCGTGGACGCCGACACAGCGTGGTCTGCGAATTGTTAGTTTAATAATCCATCTAGACAATGTTACATTGTATTGTACGTACCAGAATGGTCGAATGCGGCCAGAAATGTAAACAAAATCCCGGGGTACACGATACCCTGGCCCAAGCTGGCCGGAATTACGTATGTGAAGTACTTCCAGCCAGCATCGTTGAATTGCAGTGACATCACTAGCAAGTTTCCGATGCACATCAGCAAAGCGCCCACACGTACAAGTTGGGCCAGTTTCCCCCAACGGGACATGACAATGCCGGAGATAACACCACCCACTGGGGTCGCGAGCGACGGGATTGCCAGTCTCGCACCAGCCTTCGCGGCGGAGTCCAAGAGAATGACTTGGAATAGCAATGGGAGGGTAAAAAGGAACTACTAAGGTTAGCTCTATTTGCGAAAAAGCTGCCACACTACATACTGCATACGCCGCCATCCCGACACAGACATTAGAGACTTGGGTAGCAATAGGCAGGACGCCTCGCAGCATTCTCGGGGGGATAAGCGGGATCGCAGACGTCTTTGTTTCAATAACCACAAAGGCACCTAAAAGGATCACACTTGCTACGAGTGAGAAAATCACCCATATGTTAGACCATGGCAAATCGTTTCCGCCCAAACTTAATCCAATCAGCTGGCTGGAAAGGCCCAGGATGAGGACGCATGCACCGGAGAGATCGATTCGTTGCCAGATCGCTCGGAGGCCTTGACCCGGTTCGATAAGGTCGGTTTTCCTGGGCAGATGGATGACCAGGTGACCTGTGATTAATGCAAGTAGTCCAACGGGGGCCTGCATCAGAAAGCACCACCGCCACCCAATAGTGTCAACAATTGAACCTCCAAAGGATGCACCACAGATAGAACCAAAACCGTGCATAACATTTTGGAGGGCCTGATACATGCCGCGACGACGGAAAGGGATCAGATCCGAATTGACAATGGTGGCTGAACGATATTAGCATCCAACGTTGTTCATAGGATGGAATATTTCACCATACCCATGGTCATTAAGCCACCCCCACCAATTCCAGTCAACGCTCTCATAAGATTGAGAAATATGATATCTTTGGCGACGCCGCAGCCAATACAGCCGATCATGAATGTGATGGTCGCCGTAAAGAAGGAGAGGCGTCGGCCGAATATATCGGAAAATCGACCGTAAAGAGGTTGGAAAGCGGTACTGGTGATCAGGTATGATGTGGTGAGCCATGAGGCGGTGTTGGCAGCGTTGAACTCTGAGCTGATGACGGCATACGTTGAAGCGGTGATCGTGCCGTCAAAGCCCGAGAGAAAAACATTGGACATAATCGCTAGCTCAATCTTTAGCGATTTGGTGCTGTCGTCTCGCAGTGACCCTTACCGATTTGGATCCAGAGGAAGCCTTGCGGCGGTTTCCAGATTTCCTCTGAAGATAGAAGAGGATGTTCCTCGTGTGGGATGGCGGGCTCAATGTCGGGTTCAGCCCTCAATGTCCCGTCGAGCGAGTCGTATTGGCGGGCAGTTGAGCGCATGGCAGCTTTGTATACTTAAGTCGGTCAGTCGAAGTGCGTGACGGTCAATTTGCTTCAGTACGGTATCTAGAGATACAAAGCGGGAGGGATTGCGGGGAAGTTATAAAAGAAGGAAAATTGTTGAAGACATGTTGGTGGACCGATTGATTAGTCTATGAATCTCACATTTGATTGATCTTTGATCGCGTTATGGATCCACCCCCTCTTCGGCTATGGGAGCGGACACCCAATCGGGTATTGATTATCGTCACAGATCAATAGCCCTAATGAGTAAATTTTATCTCTAAGGAACTGATACCAAGCTACATTGCGAGATTCTTCGTTTATTGCTGACTGTATTATGTATCTAGGAACCATTTGTAGGAAATTAAGGGCCTTTATACACGAGTTCATGTATACGCCCTCTGGATTGACAGAGGGTTTCAAGAAGCAAAGGATATAAGAAATCAGCTATCGTGTAGTCAAAGGCCTTGCCAAAATCGAGAACACTCATAATGATACCCACCTTTACTAGAAGGGCGGACAAGGTTATACACAGAACGAAATCATTGCATCAATATATAAGGTTAACTTATATAAACCAGATCTTATGCATATTGATCCACTAGCTTGGAGTGCATCCACCCTTCAATTGCTGGTACAATTTCCATCGCCGTAATCTTCGACCATGGTCTATTGAGTTGGAGTGGTCAGGACCAAAGATTTTAGTTTCTAGCTGTAAGCAGCTCTCCAATAGCTCAGTTGCTTCACCATATCGACCCATTCTCCACCAGGTGTAAGCTAGGGTGGGCATGGAGTATATAGTCAGAGGATGCTCCGCACCAAGTACCTCTCGGAAGCTCTTCAAAACTTGTGACTCCAGTTTCTCCGCCTCTTCAAGGCGACCTGTGACGCTATATATGGAGGCCAACAAACCGATGGCCTCCAATGTGTCAGGGTGCTCTGCTCCAAGGACACCCTTGGAAGTCTCAGTCGCTTGCATTTGCAGTGCTTCTGCCTTTCTCAGAAGCCCCAAGGACATGTAATCGCTTACCAGGTTGCGGGTGCTGCAGAGTGTAAATGGGTGCTCCATCCCGAATGCTTTTCTGTGGCCCTTCAATATCTGCGAATTTAGTCTCTTTGATTGATTCCATTTGCCTGTTTGAGAATATATATTTGCTAAAAAACGCTTACACATCAAGGTCTCCTGATGCTCTGCACCAAGCACCCTTTCGTAAGCTTTCAGGGCTTGTAATTCCAATCTCTCTGCCTCTGCCCATCGCTGTTGAACACAGTATATAGACACAAGTGTAACCATGGCTCTCATTGTTAATATATGCTCGTTACCGAGTGCCCTTTTGAGGGTCGGTAGTACGTGTATGATTAGGTTTTCTGCTTTGCTCCATTGTCCTTGTTTGAAGTATATTTGTGCCAGAATTCCCTCACTTTCCAGTGTCATAGGATGTTCGATGCCAAGCGTAGTTCTATTTGAATATGCAGTCGTGCTGAAAGCCCTTTCAGCTTCTGCGTATCTCCCATCCCGAAGGACACAGTGTCCAAAGACACGCAGTAGATGTATCGCTGCACTATTTGGATTATTCCATTCCAGTGACTCTAGGATATACCGAGAATGTGGTAGAAATGGCCTCCACAAGAGTCGGTTCTCTTCGTCGGGGTACGGGAACAGCATATTTATGTGACTCAGAGCTTTGTTCGTCCAATCTGTGAGGGTGCCCTGCATGCGTAGCCAGTTTCGCATCGCCAGGTGTACAAGACGATGGATATCCAGAAGCTGGCTATTTTCGTGATTTGTAATAAAGGAGAAAGCCTTCAACGTCCCAAGAGCATCAGCAGACCGTGTTGCCGACTGTGTGAGAGAAAGGAATAGCTGCGGGATGTTCTTTGAGTCAACACATGCCATAAGTGACAAGTACTCCGCTGCTAACGTGTCGGAAGCCTGGATTTGTTCGAAGGATATGAGCCATGTTGCCGCAATGGAGTTCTTCCCGTCCTCGTATCTACCTTCGTCTTCGAAATTCTGACTAAGGGCGTCGATAGTACTCTCCTCGGTGCTGTCGTGGAGAGATATGTACTCGGATAGTGTCATTTGATTTTTATTGATGAATGCTGCTGCCTGGACAATTGCGAGCGGCAGATACGTAAGCTTCTGAAGTAATTCAGCGGTAGCTCGTTCGTCAGCTAACAAGCTCCGGTCGATCAAGATATTTCCGAGCAAGTTCTTAGCTAGTGCGCTGTTCATCGCTTTGACTGTGACTATATTTCTCCCTACTAACTCAACCGCTGTTTTGTAGCTTCTGGTTGTGAAAAGGACAGACCCATGCTTGCTCTTCGGCAAGATAGAACCAGCCGTATCCTTAGATTTCTCAGCCCAAAAGGAGATGTCGTCAGCATTGTCCAACACCAGTAGCCATTTACCGGAGCTTTCTTGACTCAGTCGATGTTGGACTATATTCTGAATACTCTTGGTTTCGTTTCCAACGTTAGGGATTTGCAGCTCTTTCGCGATTTGCAAATACGCCTCCAGCATGCTCTCAGCGTTGGTGGCTGGTATCCAGAATATTGCGCAGTTCGGATGTCGTTCTCGCAGAATATACGCATATTCTAGCGCAATTTGCGTTTTCCCAACGCCACCAAGCCCAACAATCGCAACCTGGGAGGGTGCACTGTCATTACTGAGAATATCATCAAGCTTGGCGATTTCCGCTGAGCGACTGACAAAGAGCGGATTCCGTCGGAAGGGGACGGTCCAGAGTGCTTTGGTACTGGCCCCTGTAAGAAAATTAGCATTGGTACGCCAACTGCCCACAAGAGTCATACGTATATGGAGCTGTGTTGAACTTGGAGTAAGGTTTCCCTGTATGGAGTGAATATGATGTGAGATCTTTAGGTTCATGGTCTCTACGTACGCCGAGGATCCTTGAGATGTTGGACATCGCCATACCTAAGCCAGATTAACTATATGTTCATTATATCCTATGCGAAATTCTCAATATACACACCCCGTTTGAGCTTCAAGTTCTGGACGCAATCCCGCACCCGAAACACCTGGGCCTGATGATCCAAATATCGATGCGTTGCTGCTTCTATCGTTCCCTGCTCACGGTATTCTTCCAGACCAACTCCCTGTAGTCCCTGTTCAACATTGAAACGGAAGTACCGCTTCTCGTCGTAGTGTTTGGCCCATCTTGCTATGAATTTCTTTTCTGTACGTCCAGTCTCGGTCGCAATGCTCACCAATGTCTCGGAAAGAAACTTGAGGGCCTTATCCTCAATCGCAGCTATTCCCGGGTCTCCCGTCCCAATGGAGACAAAGCATTTCACGAGCGGCTTTAAATCACCAGTACCAGGGCACCATATATCCGCCGCTTCGCCTTCCACTTCGTCCACAGGGTTGTTCGAGCCTAGTGCACCATCGACAAACTTCCGTGTCCCAATGTAGACGGGATCGAAGAATGTTGTAGCAGCTGACGTAGCAAGCGCAGCCTGGCAGATGGTCGCAGGAATGTTGTCCTTTGACGGTACACTGTAGTCACGAAGACGTACGATATCTTTCGTCTCGTGCGACGTGGTACAAACAAAACTAGCCATATAAGAAGCAACCCACATATCGATGGGATCATATACTCACACACGACACCCTCGCTCGCATCCGTCGTTGAAAAGGTCCGTCTCCTTTGCTCCATGACTGGCCACAACGTCTTTAACAGCACTTTCTAGCTTCGTTGAGTCAAAACGCGACCTGACGCTGCCCGAGAGATTTACAGGCCATCGAGACTTCTTCTCGAAAACCGTCCTGATCAACTTGACGTACGTGTCGATACACTCGTCAACGCTCATTTCCAAGCGGCCAAGCATGATAGCAATCAGGCCTCCGGTACTTGTGCCACCGATGAGATCAAATATCTCGCAAGGCTTGACCTGCCCAAGCTCTGGTCGTTCATGGCTCAATTGAGTCATGAGGTGTTTCAAGATATAGAGGGCTGAAAGCCCTCGCACACCGCCACCATCCAGCGATAGTAGACATAACCCAGTTTTGTCGAGAGCATTGGGTTCAGCTGTGGTCATTGTTTGTTCCATTGCTTAGCTGCCGTGTGTCCAGCTCATGAAGAAGTCAGATCCCAACAGGAACAATATATAATACCCGCAATCAACGTAAGCGCCGTGGTGGAGATCAGTCAGAAGCGACGAGGCTGACAGCCTATATTAGCGCCCAGCTCCGTAATCCATGTGATACTACTAGTGTTGAACAGGGTAGCATTAGTCGTGATCTAAATTGCATCGCCATTGGAACAGCCCTAGACTACCCCTGCTCGGTTCTTGGCTATGATTGTGGTGCCAGGTCGACTGGCGGCAAGGCTGATGTGTCCCCAACTCGATACCTTATAAGTCATCGCGGCCATTGATCCTTATTAATTCTCGAATTTTGACCTTATCGCGGCGCTAATATTAGTATGCTACGCGTATCGCGCTGTCGCTTGTTCTGACTAAAGAAGGCCGACTCCGTATCCTACCTGAGCCTCACGGTATATATATTCACAGTATCTAGTGCATTTTTGATGTCGGAATCCACTAGATAGAAGGAAGTGAAAAGCCTGACTGCGAATGGCAAGTCAATCTAAGCCCTAAACTGTGTTACAACTTTAACAATGGCGTTGTGTTTGGGTGAACGTAAGCGCTTAGGCCATTTTGCCAAGCGCCGTGCTGCGATCTCCACTTTTTTCTTACTCTCTTCTCGTTGCTTGGCATTGTGTAAGAAGAGTATTATGGTATAGGGCGATGGTGGCCGTGTCATTCTCAGTGGATATGAATGAGATCTAGGCTGTCTTCCACTTATATAAATGCAGAATGGATATCAATGATCGGCTTTTAGATAAATTATCAGGTAAAATGGAAGTGCGGTGTGAAGGTGCGTAAGGCGGGAGAGTATGACCAGTATCACTTTTGTAGAGCATTAGATCCCCTGGGTTTGGCAAGTTAAAAAGAGGAATAGAGGCCTAGTATACGCCATGGATAATTGTTAAATAGCAAAAAGAACGACATTGCATTTTCAGATTCAAATATGAATATACACAGACTCGCACGATATATCTGCGTAAAATATGCAGATCGACACTCAAGCCCACTAGGGAAGACTGAATTCCGAGTTTAACACGGAACAACCACTTCCCAATCTTTCAAGGAATTCTGGTTGGACCTTTCTTCTTTGGTTTAGACTGTATAACGTCCTCGGCATCTTCGTAAGGGAATGGGAGTGCTTTCGGCTCCGGTTTCGAGGGCGAGTACCATCTGAAGATCATCCACGCCGCAGCTGCTCCGGCGACAACGCTAAAGGCGGCTGGGTTTTGAGGCCTAATCAGTGTCGACACAAATGAGTATCTTCTATGACAAAAGCGTGCCACCACTTTCAACTTGTCTTGTGTCTTGTGGCTGTTCACATACCGCATGGGCGCTCGCTGTCCACCTGGGATAGTTACTGCCATGTTTGGGGTCGTGTATCTGCTGTTACATGTTTCACAAGCATATATAGAGTAAATGTGAAGTTCCAGAGGGCATAGGGAGAGCACGTTTATTTAAGAGTGCTTCGGCGACGCAGCATGACGCAGGACTCTCGCCACCGACATAATACGAGCCAGAAAGTCAAAGACTGGGTTTTCTGTCACTTGACAGGGTTCTCGCCCGGTCTATTCCGCTCAATGGATATTACCTGTAGACTTTGCGCGAAAACCTGATACTGAGGCCTTACTGGTTGGATGATGTGTAGGTTTCATTTATGGTGTTAAGTTCCATGGGTATAAGTCGGCTATATTCCTCGCCTTGTGCGGACAGTAATTAAGATATTTTATATATATTTTAGAAAAATGATAATTTTATAATACTTAAGGTGGCTCATCTAACATACCAAGAGAATCGCCTTCTGAAAGGGAAAGTATTTTTGTCCACTAAATTCTCATCCTTCACTAAGCTGTACCAGGTGTACAAGACATCCGTGATGGGTTTCGAGTACTCAGGTCTCGGCTGTGTGGTGAACCCCTTTTTCCTTTGTAGTCCCATCTTATACAATCGCCATTCATCCCAGAAAGAGATACCCAACCCTCGAAAGACTCGGAGATCGCATTGAAATAAAGGACTATCAAGGTTCACACGATTTCCAGAAAGAAGCGAACGAAAGGTTCTCATTCCAGGGCCGGAGTACTTTGCAAACCCAGGGCCCCTCCCCCACGAGCGATCGACCTTGTTTCCGAGATCATTTATGTCCACCGGATCTGGTAATGCCCAGCAGGAATTGATAATGAGGTCGTCCGGGGAAGGCAGCTCAATCAGCCATGGGTAGTAAGAGCTGAGTTGGATAGGCGCCTTGCGTGACAGGCATCTCATACATTGAGTGATGGTGAGATGCTCATCTTCGTGCCAATTCATCTCATTGGGAAATATCAGAAATGCGCCAGTGTATCGACCTACTTTATTGGGGGACCAGGCCCAGCGTGTTGTTGCCGCTCTGTAAATATAAGAATACAGCTCAAATGCCCAGAGAGCACGATGAAGCCAGAACTGCTCGACAAAGGACGGATGGTGGATAGCATCGGGTGGAAACGGCATTGTTGATCGCACTGGTGCATTGAAGCAAAGCCAGTCATGCATCTCGTCCTCGTTCACATTCGGGCGGGTTGGTTTGGCCTTTTTGATCTTCTCGATGAATGAGTCGTAACAGGCACAAGCAAGACGATGAACCTTAGCAGCTGATTTGATCGCCTGTCGAACGGGGGCAGAGCACTCCAGCGACCAAAGTATGGACTCCATGACTGGTGGCATTGGGTTCCAATCCTTGTCTATCAGGAATTTCCGTAATGTGCGCGGCCCAATGGCTGCAGCCTGGATGGCTACAACCAATCGAAATTTATGGCCATTGAACCCTGATGTCATGGAACAAGAGGCCAGGACTGCCTCAGTGATGCTGGGATAGTATGTATCGAAGACCTCATTGGCCTTTGATGAGATCTGCAGTAGCCCATCCAAGCTTGTGAAGTCCCAACAAGACTCGAGAATCTGGATGATGATCTCTGCCGGCAGCTTTTGAAAAGGGTCTATCATTTTGTGCTGGCTATTTTAAAAAGGAAAAAAGAAACAAAACATAACTGAGTATAAAAGAGGAAGATGACAGAGCTTGATGAGAGAGGTGGACGCCTCCTTTAATACAGTGGAGAGCTACGGCTGTCTAAGATGAAACCCGGTTGGTGCCAAGCCTGGTGGGTTGATACTAAATAAACAGTAATTACGGCCGACTAAATCGATCAGGCTAGAGAGATTTAGTCCTCCGAAACTAGCCCTAGTTATGATATTGAAGGTATCTTACCAGGGATCGTAGCGTAGGATTAACCTTACTAGTCATTAAAATAATTTGCAACTCCGTATAGGAAGGATCCGCATAATTAAACGAACAGGCATATCAACACACAATGCAATTGGTATTATTTTTCGTCCAATAATGTAGGGACCACCCTGTAGAAAACTCAGGCAAGGTTATCAAGCCTTCCCTTTCCCTTTCCCTTTGCCCTTCCCTTTACCTTTGCCTTTGCCGGAAGACGGTTCGATTTCGAAGACGGCATTGTACCAATCTTTCCCTATCCCTCTACCTTTGAAAACAGTCACCGATTTAATTGTCTTCACACCTAATTGCGATTTGTGGTCGATAAGCCACCAGGCCACCCCGGCACCATTCGGCGTAGCGAGAATGGCCTTGCCTTCATCTGTGGTCATGTCAAACGTAGTACCCGGCCATTCCTCGATCTTTTTCCCCTTTCTTTGAAGGGCGGTATCGATCGTGGCAATTGTGAGATCATTGACGATGTGGAAGCGAAACATATACTTGATTTTTTGAGCCTCCTTGGGAGTTCGCGCCAGCCGCTCCCAAACCAGGAAAGTAACGTCCGACCACTTGGTAATCGGGGGCTGCCTTTGACCGTCCGAATTTGGGCTATGTTTGTCGTCCTTCGTCTGCTCCCAAGGACTCCAGTTCTCCTCCGCGATCATGAATCCCTTCCCTGGGTTCATCACGCTTCGATACAAACCATATGTAGCCTTGGGAGTACCTCTTTGTCAGTTATGAATGATAATACCTGCAAGAGTGTGTTCTGTCGCGGAAAGTACGTACAGCTTTATTAGTGTCGTTTTCCTCCCAGTCTCGATCCTGCTCCCAAATTTCGCCTTTATTCGGAGGGAGCTTCGTTGGCAAACCAAGTGCACTAAGTGCATCCCCCAGTACTTCCAAGGACTCTGTGGTTCCGCTATTCCCAACAGCGTATGGTTTACTTGTCCAGTATTGGGTCATTTCATCGAAGGAAACTCCGTCCCTTTGGGGATAGTCAAGGCTCTCGCAGTTGGAGAGATGGCAAGCTCCTTTTCGTATGAGCTCCTCGAAGCTGGGAGGGGGCTTTCCATCGCGCTTATGAAGGGATACATTCTTGTAATCCGACAGAAGGAAATCTGCGGAAGGAAATGTTTCCCCGGGGACTAAAGAAGGAATATAGCGAGCCGAGACATGACCGAGATGGACCACAAGGGTCGACCAGACAGAGATAAAGAGCAGAAAAAGGCGCGATATACTCGCCATCTTCGCGGAGGCAATTCGCTGAAATGCGCAAACTATTCAATAGCTATTTGAGCAGCAATACCGTATCTATCATCCTTTGGTTGGGTATTTATATGACCTACGAACCATCTCACGTGGGTCAATTCTTGTTTCGCCCCGTAGCTCCCAGTCTCCCCTGGATTTGGTTTTATCAATATCGTAATGGGCCTATTGTCGCTTCTCTGTCAAGGTGGAGGAGAATACTAACAGGGACATGGAAGACTGGCTCGACTCGTGCACTCACATGTAACTCATTGCCTCATCAACCAACTCCGTTTAGCACCATAGAGGAATGGTTATCGGCCACAATGCGTGCTACCAACGAGCTAGCTATTCGTTCTTTGCCCATTGTGTCCATCTAGACGAACAGTATTGACTGCTAGAACCAAAACGTTGAACCGCGCAAGTGCACGAGTTAGGGAACTTGTTTCGGGGCCAAGTTAGGAGTACTAACTTAGGACTCCCATGACTAATACTGCAGGGATCTTTGAAATGACAGCGAAACAGAATTTCTAGAGCACATAGGCGCTCATTACTACAGTATCAAGTGAGACATATCATTGGTACGGATGGCTGCGCTTGTGTTGTGGGGCGGACAGAAATTCATTACGGCGCTCTAGAGTAATAGTTCACTAGCTTTAGGCACTAGAGATAAACGGGGTAGAGTTACCACGCTGTGTCCAAATGGAATGGTGTGAGCGCATGCCGTGGTCCGCTTCACGTCTTGCCTACTCATAATATACGTTACAAGATTCATTGTAGCTATGTAGCTACTGTATGCTGATCGGAATTTTACAAGGGAGTGCTGCACGGCGGCAGTACATGATCTTCGAACGGGTGTACATCACCCGAGGAGCTTAATGATCCATGGGCAATTTCCGCTTTCTTGGCATTCATCGATTCATCTCCGAGCGAGGTTACATAGCCTTGAAGTAGTTCATGCTAGTTCTTCCTCCCGGTGGAACAGCCATTGCCGATGGGTCTTAGATTATCTATGCTTTTCTCTATACCTGACTTGGTCCCAAATGACCAGATGAAATGCCTCATCCAACCTGGCCTAGATGCCTGCCTGGCACTTAGGGTAGTAGAGCTTTTCATCTGTCCGGTTGTGGGCTACCCTATTCGAGTCACAATGAATATCCACAGGAGTCGAAATAACGAACCGACGTCGTATCGCAGTTTTAGTGTTGTTGCCCAATATGATCTCAAACTACTGTTCCGGCCGAGGGTGACGATATCCAAGATTAGGGGGAAGAGTAATCGTGAAACTGAGAGAGGGATCTTGAGATTATAAAGGTAGCTCGATTCCTTCAGAATTCATGATATATGAACCACGTCGTCATTCATTCATCGAAAACAAAGGTCCCAGCCAGGCAAGCAAAAGCATGTCGGCAACCGCCTAAAGTCATTCTCTATATTTCCTGTCCTACTTCGTTTCCTATTTTCATTGAAAGCCTCTGATTACATATTCCTTCAATGCGGTATCTCATTTCAGGCGGCATGGGCCGTCTTGCCATATTTATTGGACTATTTGTCTTTCTTCCTCAAGCGTATGCCAGAGCTGTATTCGCCCATTTCATGGTAAGTAGATTGGCAAACCTGTGACCTGTATCTCTCAACGTTCTTTAACTTGCGTATTCAGGTGGGTAATACCGAACATTATGAGGTTTCCGACTGGAAGCATGATATCACCCTCGCACAAGAGGCGCATATTGATGCCTTCGCGCTCAACATGGCCCATAACGAGGCAACGAACGAACGGTCTGTTAAGAATGCCTTCCAGGCAGCCGAGAGCCTTGGATTTCAATTGTTTTTCTCTTTCGATTACGCCGGAAATGGGCCATGGCCCCAAGCAGAGGTCATCGCGATGCTTCAAAAGTACTCCTCCAGTTCGGCCCACTACCGTTACCAGGGCAAGCCTTTTGTGTCCACCTTTGAGGGGCCTGGCAATGCAGAAGACTGGATTGCCATAAAGGCTGCTACTGGCTGCTTCTTTGTCCCTGACTGGTCTTCGTTGGGCGCCAAGCCGGCTCTTCAACTTGCAGGGGGCGTGGCTGATGGCTTATTCTCGTGGGCAGCTTGGCCCACGGGGTTGGGACGAATGAATACCTACGTTGACGCATCGTATATCCAGTACTTAACGGAGGCAGGGAAGCCATATATGATGCCAGCCTCTCCGTGGTTTTATACCAACATGCCTGGGTATGATAAAAACTGGCTTTGGCACTCGGACTCTCTCTGGTACGATCGCTGGGTTGAAATTGCCTATCTGGAACCGGAGTGGGTCGAGATAATCTCCTGGAATGACTACGGCGAGTCACATTATATTGGCCCCCTCAACGACAAGGCGTACGTGGCGTTTCTCACAGGGAGGGCGCCTTATAACTATGTGCAAGATATGCCTCATGATGGATGGCGGACACAGCTCCCGTATCTCATTGATTTGTATAAGACGGGGACATCGTCGGTCACAAAGGAGAACTTGGTCGTCTGGTATCGCACCAACCCCCGAACTACCTGTTCTGGTGGAGGCACAACGGGAAACACAGCAAGTCAACTCCAGATTGAGTACGACGCGTACACCTTGGTGGACGACAAAATCTTTTTCTCTGCACTGCTCGGCTCAAATGCAACCGTTACCGTCAGTATCGGCGGCCTTGAATATGACGGCCACTGGGAGTTTGAACCAGATGGCGGTGTTGGCATCTACCATGGCAGCTTTCCATTCAATCTGCATCTCATGGGCGAAGTAATAGTTACGATCTCACGAAATAGTAAAGATGTGCTTACTGTCAAAGGAAAGGCCATCTCAGACACGTGCGTCAGTGGCCTTGCCAATTTTAATCCGTGGGTGGGATCTGCCACTGCTGGATCAACAATCAAAGCTGTATCGCCGAAGCTGAAGCTCTCCGAACAAACTTGTATCAAAGGGTCCGGAGCTGGAAACTTCGCCGGTCTGTGCCAGTTCACTTGCAAGTATGGATATTGTCCGGTAGGCGCATGTTATTGCACTGCGATGGGCGCCGAAAAGAAGAAGCCTAAAGCCACAGGTAAGAAAGGATATCCCAAAAATGGCGATGCAAATTATGGAGGGCTTTGCTCGTTCGCTTGCAACCTTGGATACTGTCCCGAATCAGCTTGCTCAGAAACACCTTCGCCACCATATATCCCTCCCAGCTCTCCATTTGCTGCCCGTGCTTGCACAGGGGGCGAGAGTGAGCATGGAGAAAAGTATGCCGGGCTGTGCAGCTTTGCCTGTGCTTATGGTTATTGCCCTATTAGCACATGCTGGTGCGCTGAAGTAGGTGATTTGAACGTTCCACCGCCCCCATCTGATGTCAAAGGTGTCCCAGACACCAGTGATGCAGATGAGTATGAGCTGCTCAAAGGGCTCTGCAATTTCGCGTGTAGTCGAGACTATTGTCCTCCTGGTGCCTGCAAGCTGGCCTCTGAAGGCGATGGTGATGAGTATGACGATGACGATGGCGACGATGACCGGCCAACAGAGATCATCGTTGATGGATCGATCTGGCAGGACGCAAACCCAGCAGTCAGCTGCGGCTCAGACTGCATTCTCGTGCTCCCCCCAGTTACCCTCCCAAGCCCGACAGTCATCACATTCGATAATGACCAAGGGGGCTACCAAACCACGTTGAACGTGGCATGGGAGGTTCCCGTCACTACCACATTACCGGATGGTCAAGTAGTAACTACTTCGAGTATTAGCCATATTCTACAAGAGACCAGAATTTCCGTTCCTCCGAGTGAGTTATTTATCTGTTCTGCAAAGCTTCTATGAAGTGAAATGCACTTACTGACTTGATCGATACCTTAGCCACGGTTAGTGTCTTGCCGTTGTGGCCGGTAACAATCACGAGCCCAACTCCTACGACAACCATTTACCCTATGTATCGTATTCCTCCGCAAACAATCGTTATTACGGATGACCCAAACCCCCTGTCGGAGGAGGGCGTCTCGCATTCACCAGTCACTCGAGATATAACCATCCCGCCTTACCCTTGGGTATCTGAATCAGCTCGAGACACAAAAATTCCGCCTGTCACGTTTACTTCGGCTTCAGACAGCAGCAATGGTCCAAAATGTACCAACCGTGCCCGATGTGGCTCAGGCTGCCATTCTAAAAACTTCTGCGGCGATGGTCCATGTCTCATCGGCTGTGGTGGCGGAGGCTTCGCTGCCTCGAACGACCCAAAACCGCTCCCGAACCCTCATCCAGGCCCTAGCCATAACAAAGGCGATGACAGTGACGATGACGAAGATTCCCAGACATGTACAACGACAGCAACAGTAACTGATGTCTGGGTCTCATGCTCGACCATCAATCCCTCCTCCACTTCCTGCACCACCACTAGTAGTCACATCCACACCGGCTGCCGCGCCACGGCCTCGGCCACTACCACAGGTGTCAGTGATACCTGCCTCCTGAACTCTCGAGACGAAGACCAAGGTTCTGATGGTGGTGCTGGGTCTGGTCTCATAACAACCATTGATGACCGCAAGTCCACGGCTACCACCGCGTCTAAGACCACAGCCACCCCGAAGCCAATCCCGACCAGGAGTGTCCAGAAGGGCACCTTAACATGCCAGTCAGACATTGACAACTATCCACAAGGCGATTCACGATATTATGCTACTTTGACTGATATCAGCAAAGCGGCTCAGCAAATGTGTGAGGGTTTATTTACTGACTTCAACGACGGGGTCCAGTTTACTTCAGTGCAGGGCATTGGAGAGCGCAATACCTGGTCACTTGTGATGCAGTACACGAAGGCAGGCGGCTGCCCTGCGGCCCCCAACTTTAAAGCCAAAAAGCATCAGGCCGCCATTGATACCTGCATTGAAAATCTGAACCTCATCATCAACAACTGTCAGTAATGTTTTTTTTCCTTTTACCTTTCAGCTTGTCATGATGACGCTAATGAACAATAGGTGACGTTGCAGCGAATGGTCATGACTACTGGAAGAGAGGAGGCAAGTTTGTCCGAGACTGTATGAGATACGAGTTCTCAAAGACAGGTGGAAAACTCTAGATGTATGATCCACCTGCTTTTGTCTAGATCTGCTACCTTTGGATCGAGAAAATCATTTTTGTATAATATATTTACCCAATAATATGACGGAACTACGTATTATTATTCTTAACGATCTTTTACAGAATCGGGATGCCACATATTTATATCTTGTTCCCAATCTCCGGCTTGGGATAATCACGATCATGTGAAACTTTTCATAGTCCGGTTAGAACTTACAAGATAGTCGACACAGGACGTGGGCTGCCTCAAGACAAGTCAATTCATACTGGGTTACGGGTTACTCCAGCTATAGTAGATGCGATAAATGTGATACCTAACAATAGTTCTTGGCATTTAATAATTTGCTGAAGCTGCTGGCTATTCTTTTAACTCTAATAAATCCGATGGGCCATTCGAAAAGCCAAAGCACACCGAACTCGATACTCAATCAAACCCCCGCCACGAAAGGCCGCAACAGCTCAAACCTGACTACACCTACTCTGCTAGTCGTATATTTGCCTAACCACCCTGTCACGTATAATGTCACTGCCACCCTTCATTCCGAGTGGACGACCTGCGTCGGCTGTGCAATTCTGAGCCGTTCATTCGATAGGACCGGCGCTACCGTTCCTAGGGCTTGTAACCGGTGTTTCCACCGTTACTGCTGGAATGGAACAATTGATGATCGAACCCCAGCACTGTACAATCCTTCTGTGCTTTTACCGAATACCACTTCGACGGCTGGCACAGGTTTGACTGCTTCAAGCATGGGCTCCTCGCCTGATTCTGCGGTCTGGTCTGCCATTGCGATGGTTGGGATGGCCCTTTTCGTGGTTAGCTAATCTTGATTTGAATAGAGATGATGTGAATCCCTTTGATGTTGGGTCTCAATGATGGTCTTATACAGGCCTAATTTATTGTTATTTGTCCTTCATGCTTTTTCAATTCAGACTATATCCATATATTATCTTGCTCCCGACAAGGACCTTAGCCGACTTTCGTGCACATCCCGAGTATGTCTTGCAAGATATATTCCCCGAGCCTTTGAACTTTCTTCCATAGATGGTAGTGTAATTATATTAATAAACTCATAAAGACCACGGTTGAAACTCATCCTCCTCGGACTCAGATAGATCCCCATGCAGCTCCTGTTCTCGATCGATAACGTGGACTAGCGATTTGGAATTAAAAGGTTGTATCTCCGGATGACCTTAATGACCACGGTGGGGCAGCCCATGAGGCAAGGCATACTGGCAACCCAAAGTTATGGTGACTCATGTTAATTGTCTACTGGCTTAGGAGATGGAGTTTCACCACTATAGTAGGGATAATTCGGCAATCACCCAATTTCCTATACTTTTCCGGTGGTCAATCGGGTGTTATACTCGAATTGTAAGATGCCACACTAGTAGAATAGCTGAATTGTTTTTCTACAAGTCCCGGATACCTCAGCATGCTCAGTGAGTGATCCGGGAGCGGCAGCTTCTGCTCCTTGTAGGTCATCTCGTGACTGCAACTAGGTCTCTAAAATGCATACAGACTAAAACTTTGTGATCTATCAGACCAAGCCCACCACTTTCATGAGCGCCTCACAAAGACAAGGGCCGAATAACTTAATTTAGTCAATGTACATGATGACTATTCAAAACATGTTTTCCGGTTGGATTAGGGGGAAGTGGAGGGAAGTAATACCCATTGTGGGTCTACTTCAGAGGCTTTCGCCCCAATGTTTTTGAATATAAATACAGTAATACATATGTCTTGACCTCAACTGTAGTATTTAATTATGGCCAAAGGGTCTGACTCATGGAAGGCTATCCAACTTGAGAAGAAAATAAAAGCTTGCTGTGTACTCCGTCAACAGCGGAGATACAACGCAAATGCCCATCGACAGAAAAATGCTGAATGAACCAGGGGCAGAGAATCAATTCCCCTTGATATATCACTAGGCGATGGTCCTCGGTAAGTATTTGGTTTGTCTTTTACAGCTTTCATTTCCAATTCAATTAATCTCGGTACGGTTCTTTGGAATCCCTGGATCATAAATCATACGTGACACAACCAAGTTCCATGAAGAAAAAAGGAAACGACGGGAACAGGGCTTTACTATTGGGCCTTTCGTATAACATACACTTGGGACTTAATCCGGTACCTCAGTAGTGTCTACTTCGTGCAGCTAGTTATATAACCTTGGGGGTGTAGCGGGCCGTGCCTTTGGAGAGGCGAACTTCTCCTCAAGGCATAATGTAGAACCAAACTGGAATAGTAAGGAAGCTCTCTCTTTAAATCTCATAGTAATATACGTTGGGTCATTTTCTATCCTGGTGGACATCAATGGGGCTCCACACGACGCCCCGATTTCATGATCCAGGCTATGCTAACTATTTGACCATTTACTTACAGGTGATCTAACTAGTCTCAACGGCACTAAGCACCCGTGCCTCATTCTGATGACAGGCACTTCGTGCTACAGTTGTCTCTTCCTTTCCATAGTTTGTCGGCCGAACACTCAGCCAAGTCACCGCCATCATGCATACGAGTCCTACCCCTTGCAAAGTGAAGGTCCAAGCCGTTACAGAAATCTGTTCCAGACCAGCCGCTTCGGTGCCAAATGTAGCGCAGAGCCCGCCGGCTAAGCATCCCTTTGCAAAACCTGCAAACCGGGCGAGAGTGTCGGGGCTATTGCTAAGGGAGGCGACAATCCACTGCACAACAATTTGGTACTGTCCATGGTCAGTTCGGTAGGACTGATACCAAGCAAAAGACCTACCGCAGCCATATTAATCCCGAATAGCAGGGTTAGGATGATGAAGCCTCCAAAGGGCCCATCGGTCCAATCCCACAGCGGAGGACTGGTCAGGTTGATTGGATGTTGCGACAACCAAACGGCGAGGCCAATCCACAGACCAAGCGTCAAGAGGCCCATCGTGGTGATCGAAACAATTCCTCGCACACGCCGATTGCCAATCCTCCTATAATCTAAGAGGACCATAGTCACGATGGCACCAAGAGCTTGAAGTATGACAAAGATGACCGAGTTCAAACTGCGGGTGCGAATGTTAAAGTACAACGCTGATTCATGTTAGTATCCTAAATCGATGGTAAAGGGGGAGAAAACATACAATTGATTGAGGAGAACACCACAATGGCCACTTCGGAGCCAAACATCGGAATCAAGAGTACGAGCATGCGCCAGTCCATGAATATCCGACGCTGTTCCTTCAGTTCCTTCCAGAATCCACGGTGGGCATAATGTGCGATTGGCGAACCATCCACGCGTCGTACATTGGCAGGCGAAATGATGCCGAACAATGCGACCGGGAGGGACAGTGCCATAAGAATGATAAAAACGATGTAGACCGAGTCGGGGCACGCCAGCTCTCCGGCATTGAAGTTGATGCCGAACGCGACGAAGGAGGCAATAATGCCTGGCGATCATGAGTACTTCTCACGTCAAACAACAGAGGAGTTCCTACTTCCAACACTAAGCAGACACCATTGCATGGAGATATAGGTCCCCTTCTTATCCTCAGTCGCATAGCTAAAGGCAATGAACCCCGCTGCCGTCCACAGGTGAATGGCCGTGATGCCTAGGATCGCGCCGCCCAAGATTGGGAACCAGAGATTGCCCGTGTGGCCGACTGCTTCAATCAGTTATACTCTTCGGGCACGTCTAGCAGAGCTACGTACAATACCATAACGAACCCACGTAGATAGGGTAACCCAGGGTGCCAAAAGCCAGCGTGTATTTAGGCCCGATCATTGTCACCACCGAGCCGCTGAAGAATCCCGCCACGAAATAGATCCTGCGCACATCTCAGCTTCCACTATCAAGGTCTTAACCTAAATAACCAGACACTGACGTGTATAGAACCAAATTAGCCACATTCTGCATCTTCGTAGCATTGGCAGGCCCACCGCCTGCCCCGAGGTTGGTGACCGCAACACTGGAGAAAATGTCAGGGACAGAATATGTAGTTAATGTGCGAGTACTTACTATAGTCCCGGCCCCAGGCCAACTATAATAGAGGCTAGGAGGTTCTGAGCGAAAGGGCTGTGACCATCAGCTTGTGTTCTTACAGTCTGTATTAGGTCTCACCTGTTCAATCTCCACAACTGCATGGCGAACCTCCAGAGAATGACAAAAGCAAAGAGTGTGAATTTCAGAGAGACAAAAAGGAACGGCAGAATGCGGATATAAAAACCAACGGGGGTCAAGTAAGAGAATGGGTATGAGTGGGGATGTAATATCTTTGCTTGTTCATCTCATTGGGTCCGTCGGCAATTCTTTTGGGGACAATTATAAATGGCTTGAGGAAACTCCATGCAACCTGGCAGGGATCGAATCCGACCGGCGAAGCTACTTAAACCCTTGCCGGAACAGCGCCCTTTTTCCAAACCATTATTACGATTCATACCGGAAAATGGCTGCATCCCATATCATCGGTTATGCCGACCCTCTGGTGGCCTCGCCCGGCGACACCGTTTCCATCCATGTCTCTTGCCACCGCGACCAGTACTCCAGTCAATTTGTCCGTCTAGGTCCTGGTCAACTAGATCACCCTGACGCTCCGCCCGAGGATCGTCGGCCTATTGAGTCAGTTCGGACCGCTAAGCACGTCGGTCGCCCACAATTCTCCCGTCCGGGATCCTTTGCTACGGTCCCTTGGATGAGTGACCTTTTGGTTCACGATAGTATTGTGAGAGTGTCCTTCTGGGCGCAACCTACTCTGCTTCAGGCTGGTCATAAACAATATCTCTTCTCATCGCTTGACCCAGATGGCCATTCGGGCCTGGCAGCACTGATCGATGAGGGCACGCTGATGCTGCTCACTGGAGCAGCAGATGGGGTGCAGATTATCCCTCTGTCAGTTCATCTAGAGCGTGGGATGTGGTATTATCTGATCTTCACTTGGGATCCGATATCGAACTCTGTCAGCGCCAATGTGCGAAGCAAGCCCGAAGATGTTGGGCTATCATCAACCACACAAACTGAAAGCCAGCGCGTGAAGCCCATGGAGTTGAAATCTTCGCAATGTCTGACGATTGCCAGCCACACCAGTGGCGAGCGAGTAGCGTCAAAGCCCATTTCATCGAGTAGCTTCAATGGCAAGATCGACGGGTTCCGCATCGAGGTAGGATCGCAGTGCATCCTAGATCTCGACTTTAGCAAAGACATTCCCACGGATTGTCTTCGCGATCGTTCCATCCATGCGACACATGGTATAATAGTCAATAGTCCTGCCCGCGCCGTTACCAGCCATGACTGGGATGCTCGCGAGGTGGACTGGACGCGTGCCTCTTATGGTTATGGTGCCATCCACTTCCATGACGACGACGTGGATGACGCTGCATGGGAGAAGGACTTTGAGCTGGTGCTTCCCACTGATCTACATTCAGGATGCTACGGCGTTGTCGTGTCCGACGGGGACACTGAAGATGTGATTCCAATCTTTGTCCGGCCCGAGCTGTCCAGGTCGAAAAATCCTCCGGTTGTCCTGATCATGCCAACTTTCACTTACACCGCGTATGCCAACGATCGCATGTACGATACTTCGCGGGACGTGCATATTGACATTCCCGGGTCCGACTCGGTGGTGAAAAGTCGCCATCTTCATATTCTTGAGGATCGTCCGGATCTAGGAATTTCGCTGTACGATAGCCACAACGACGGTTCCGGCACAGTGCATTCCTCTACTAAGCGAGTGGTGTTGAACATGAGGCCCGAGTAAGATTCTTCCTCCTCTTTCGATTCGTTCTACGGTTCTTCTAACGTCTACCAGCTACTATCACTGGGGTTTTGGTGGTCCACGTGAGTTCCCTGCCGACCTATGGTATATCGGGTTCTTGGATAGAGAGCTTGGTCGGGACAACTACGATATCATTACAGACCACGACCTCTCCATCTACGGCCCCTCGCTGCTACTTCGCTATTCCGTTGCCCTCTCCTGCAGCCATCCCGAGTATCCCACCTACAGTATGCTCGACACCTACAACGCCTTCCTTACCAACGGTGGTTCCTTCCTCTACCTCGGTGGCAACGGCTACTATTGGGTCACCGGCCATCATTCCTCAAGTCCTCACCGGATCGAAGTCCGCCGGGCCGACCAAGGATGTCGCACCTTCGGTTTACCCCCGGGACACTGGCACCTCGCAGCAACCGGTGAACTGGGTGGCCTCTGGCGTTCACGCGGGCGCACGCCGAACCGATTCTGTGGTCTTGGCTCCGACGCGTGCGGCATGGGGAAGGGAGCAGCATACGGCATTGTCCCCGAGGCGCGAGTGAATCCGAGATTATCCTTCCTTTTCAACAGTTCCCGACTGCGAGATCCCACCACAACCGTTATCGGCAACTTTGGCCTGGTGCAGGGCGCGGCCTCTGGGGACGAGATTGACCGGCTGGATTACTCGCTCGGAACTCCACAGAACGCGATCATCGTGGCGACAACCAAGTTGGCGGGTGGCCATTCAGATAACTATGGCTTGTTCAACGAGGAGATCCTGTTTCCAATGGTGAATACGCTGGGCACGACCAGCGACAAGGTGCGAAGCGATTTGATATACTTTGAGACGCAGGCTGGGGGTGCCGTCTTTGCTGTGGGATCTATCAATTGGGTTGGAGCTTTGGCGTGGAACAACTATGACAACAATATTGCGGAAATTACTGCAAATGCGCTTCATGAATTCTTAAGAAGATCGCGGGAAACTTCCAAGTGATTCAAGTTTCTTCAGAGGATACGAATAATGATAGGTTGATCGTTGAACATGACATCTCATATGCTGCATTTGTACTATTTACTGGTCTTCTAGGGGTTGATACAAGAATATAGGGCATTGACTTTGTGTTTTAATCTCCAGTAAAGCCCTTGTGAGTAGATTAAGCTGCAGAAGCAAGCCAGCATCTAATAGAGCACCGGCAACATTGTTAGAGCAGTTCCTTCTCCACAACTTGTAACATATCGTGATTATTCAAAGCATGGCTCGCTCTAGACCGAGTATCAGCTGAATCTCAAAGCTGTCTATTTTTCACCCAGACTATGTAGCCAAGGGCTTGTCAACTAGGGTACGACTCTAGTGCTGATCTTGGATTGGTCCTTTCGTGTAGAAAAAGCGGTCCGGTTGTTTTACTTTTTGCCGGGACCCATAATTACTATTTATCGATTCGTTGAGAATGCCGATCATTAATCCCAGCCTCACTCTTCGACAGGTCCCTCGCACAAGCAAGGCTGATGTTGAAGCATCTGCTATAGTTGTTGCTGATGGGCAACCACTATGTGAACATCTAAAAGATCAGTACTAGTGATATCGCAAAGCCGATGCGTCCTACAAAGACGATCTCTATGTGATTGACAAGTTCGCCATACCCAACTCGCTGAAGTTCCTGTCGACTGGGGTGGACAGCTGGGATATTCCTTTCTTTCGAAATATATCATAGCCTTGAAGCGGGGGCATGCACGGAGATATTAACATGCACGTAAGAACTAGAACCAGGGAGGTTTTGAACTCCCAGACAAGATGAAATTCTTATAGTACTAGATCTTAATACATCTATCAGCATCCCTATTTGTGTTCTATCTCAGAGCGGTTAGATAGATAGCCTTTTGACCATCTAATTGTTATTGACGACAGCACACACTTACTCCGTAGTTGAGGGGCCGCAGCTTCTTGATGTGTCACTTGAGTCCCATTCGATAAATCCTTTAAAGATGGCCAAGCTTCGGGGTGGTCCTCTCCGCGGGGCCTGCATGCACAGACGTCAATACAAGTTTATGCAGTGATGATGGGTGATGAATCCCCACATTTTTCAGATAATTATAGCCTGTCAGACTCAGAAGCTATGTAAATGGAGATATTTATATCCAATTATATATGGAGTAATTCATTGTCCCGACGCAGATATGCGTCCCCTACCAAAATAAGCGCCGAGGATATCTAAAGTATATACAAATCAAAACGAAGAACATGCATGAAATGGAAATTATAAATCGAAATTGGAATAACCTAATTTAGTTTCAAATGACCCTGTCACCTAACCTTTCGTTTAAATCCTCACACATTCTCATACTTCATCTCCTGGTGTACTTCCGGGGTAGGCTTCACATAGTCTGCCTGCAGAACAGCCAATACGCCAAAGAACATGGCAATAACCATTGAGATGATCTCCTCCAGAACAGCCATGCACAAATAGGCAGTGAGACTGGTGTGATTGTTCTCGGCCAATGACATCATTGAAAAGGTTGTGTTGGAGCTGTAATCGCCGAGGGCTGCGTAGATCAACCGAACCAACAGGAAGGGAGCAGACAAGGCAATGCCAAGGAACAACATTTTCTGATACTTCCGCAAGGAAAAGGAGTATGTATAGAATAGCCAAACAGTAAGGAGGATGACTATGGCGTATACGGCGAGAAAGAGACCCATGGCTACTTTGGGGAGCGTGCCTGGTGTGTAACCATTCGTCGTATCGGCAGTGCTGACTCCAACAATACCAAGGATTAGACCGACAAGGGCCATGAGAGTCACCAACAGGAGAGGCCGACGAGGAATCTTCTTTTCCAAATCACTGGATAGATATTCGTTAGATCACGTTCATCAGGTCGAAGAGCTACACCAGCACCAACTTACATTAATCTTAGCATTCCGACATACGCTAGCAGCAGAGGTGCAATGCCAATGAGCTGGCACACGAACATGGCAATCCTGACTTGCTTTGAATCGTGATCGATCGAAATTAATGTAGCAATACTGCCAGCAAGTCGAATGAGAGAGAGTGTGAAGGGGTATCGCCAGATCTTAGCGCCAACTCTCCATCCTGTCCGTTTCCAGATGAAAAGGGAAGCGGCGAGAATGAAAGGGAAAATGATGAGCTGGAGAATAGCTATTCCATCTGCATAGTTCACGGTTCCCATGGTGCTTTTTCTAGGGAGCAGTGGAGCACGAGGAAGTTGTAGGAGAGGATCAAAAATAAAAAGTAATGGTTAGAGATGGATAGCAAGAACTGATTCTTGTGTGCTCCTCTCGACAGCGGACAATTCAGTCCTTTTATGTGCTACTTCAGACACATATTGATGTTTTTTTTTTCTTTCGCACTGGCATCCCTAAGCCACAGCTCGAAATCCGTGCCTACTGGTTCAACATCTAAGATACCTAAAGAAGACTAGTGTGGATAGGTAGTCGTAGAGGCCCAAGTGGGTTTGGGGCCAAGAGGCTGCTTCTGGGATGCTCATCTAGGTAAAGAAGTGCAGATCTCCCTGTGTCAGTGCCTCGCCAATGTCATCCCATGAATCTTTTACGCTTATCCTAATACAGTAGCGAGATCGGTGTAAGGCTTACTCGAGCCATGGGGCTGTTTAGATGTCAAGGATTGCGTAAGTTACTAAAGTTAGCCTTGGGGCTAAAACTGGGAAAAAAAAAAAAAAAAAAAAAAGACACTTGTTTGCCCAGTGGCATTGGGGGCCATTTTGGCTTTCACGGAACTCTTCACCCTCACTCTGACCCCACACTGGTCTGCCAAGAGAGAACAAGCATCCGAAAGGGCTGAGTGCAGTAGCTTGTTTCCCCAAGTTAATCCAGCGGTCTTCAGCCTTATTCCAGCAAGGCTGATAAGTGAAAGTCTTCAAATAGCAACCCCTTTTTTCCTCTTCGTTATCTCGTCCTCATAGCTGATCGCCTGGTCGGCGCATGCTTCAATATGCCAACACTCAATACCCCTCGCGCAAGAACATCTAGAAGTTGCGAAAATTGCCGGGCTGTAAAACGACGCGTGGGTCTTTCCTTCTCATTTTAGTGATGTTAACATTAACATGGCGACATAGTGCGACAAGCAGGTTCCCCGGTGTGGTCAATGCATCCGCACGCGCGAAACTTGCCTGGGATACCGTGATCAATGGGACTTAGTCTTCCGCGATCAGACAAGCCACACCATCAAACGCTCCAGGAACAAATCAGAAAAGAATGCGGTCTCAACTGCGGGTATCCCCTTGACCCCACCTACCCGTGGTCCGAATCCTAGTCTCGAAGAGATAGGCGTGAACTATTTCCTCCAGGAATTTACCGCAGGTGGCCGTTCCCCCTCACGCGGTTATCTCAACTACATCCCGACTGCCTATTCGGCCGACGTTGAGCATCCGACCCTCGTCGCCAGTATGGCGGCCGTGGGCCTCGTGGCTTTGGCAACTCATCAGCCCGAGCTTGTCCATCACGCGCGGGCCAAGTACTCCGAGGCGATCAACCATGTGAACAATGCATTGGCATCCCCTGTTGAATCAGTTAAGGACAGCACTTTGATGTCGGTGATCTCGCTTGGGGTTTTCGAGCATGTCTCAAACTTTGAGTCGTGGGTTCGACATGTCAAAGGAGCTGCTGCGTTGGTGGTTGCCCGAGGTAAATCTCAATTTACCCGTAGGCCTGCCATCCTAATGTTCAATCAGGTGCGCGCAGATATGTCGGCTGCCTGTATTCAAAGCATTCAGCCATTTCCGGATGACATGCGTGAGCTGCAGGAAGAGGCAACCAAGTATACAGACCCTTCTGATGCCTTCTGGTTACTCGGGGTGCTTGCTACACAGTGCGCAACCCTTTTCGCCAGCGTCACAGCCAAGCATAGAGGCATCCCTTTGCCTAGAGATATGACGTGGCTTCACTTCCTAGAAGTATCTATTGCGCTTCAGGATGACTTCCAATATGTTCTTGATATCCTTGCTAGGCAGGAGCCGTACATAACTATCCACGAATCCTGTGAGAGTGCGGAGTTCATTTCTTACAATGGCCAATATCACCTATACCAGACATCTTGGGCAATAAGGCTTTGGAACAACTCGCGAATGGTTGAGATCATTGTGTGCGAGATCGTATGCTGGCTCATAAACAAGGTTCTTGCCGAGAACCCGGCTTATCCTGCTGAGGGCCGATTGAAGCTTAAATCAAGGCTACAGTACGCGGCGCAGATTATGTCAAGACGAGGGGAGGAGATATTGGCCAGCGTTCCGCAGGGTTTGGGGCTTGTATTGTTACCTGATGCCCATAAGCCCCAGCTACCGAACGTATCGGGCGGGTATATGCTAATATGGAATCTCTATACAGTCGGGAAATCTCCTGTGATTAGTTATCAAAATCGTCTCTGGGTCATCAAGCAACTAAAGGATGTCAGTCGGAGTGCAGGCATTGCAATGGCGTTTCAGCTTGCCGAGGATCTTGTTAGATTAGAACGAAAGATCAATTGAAAACCTCGCCTCTGCGGACTCTGGAGGATATGGGCGGGCCCCTTCAGAGATCGATTGCGAAAATCTGTCCCGATAATACCCATACAAGACAAAGGCGCGGTAGTCAATTGCAGAGATCTCATTATCTGCCCCAGCGCCAAGAAAAGCCCTGATCCGTGCCTGTCGAATGACGTCAGTGGCGCGTTGACGTCTAGATGCTCGTGGGTACAGAGTAGTGGGGGGAGGAACCTCCCACGAGTATGAGATATACGGGGCTACTTGAGGAGTTCAGCCTGGTCAGACACGATAACGGTCTATATGGTTTTGCTTTTTTTTTATTTTTATATACGACTACAACTCTGGTCTGGCGGATACTACCTAATATATAGGAGGGCAGGGGTGTAGAATTATGTGATTGGTCGACAGATGGAGATCAGCGGGAGGGCCAATCAGGGAGCGAGAGGGCAATTCCGAGAGTTCCGCGTTCGGATGAATAATCGCTTACTCCAGAGTACAACAAACCAGCACATCCATGAGCTTCATCTCATTCTCGCTTTTGCTGTCGGTCGGCTCCTGCAATGGTGTAACCGGGTAGGCTCATTCTATTCCCCAGTCACTCCCCACTCTCCCATATCCTTATGACCGTCGCCCCTCCATCGCCGGACTCCCCCGCGGAGGAGCTCCAACAGCGTCCTCCGCGGTACTCCGGCGAGGATACAACCCCGACCAGCAAGCGCGAGATCTGGGGGTGGTATGCGTATGGAATTGCAGCGGAGGTATTCGCTGTCTGTGGCGTAGGTAAGGGAACTACTCCGGAGTATTAGTTCTTATCGATCTAGTCGCAATGGTACTAATCATATCGGCGCCATAGGTTCTTTCCTGCCTCTCACATTGGAACAACTGGCACGCGAACGAGGAACCTTTAAATCTAGCCACCTGCCCTGCGTCGGTCCCGGTTCACCGTCTACATCTGTGAATGGCACGGCCCCTGCCATGCTCCGTCGCGATGGAGCCGAAAACGATCAATGTGTCGTAGGACTGTTGGGATTGAACATCAACACCGCCAGTTTCGCTATGTACACCTTCTCGTTGGCAGTGCTCGTCCAGGCATTGACCCTGATATCCTTCAGCGCCTTAGCGGACTACGGTATGACTTCCCAGTATGTTGGCAATCATGTCTCGAGCGGGCCTGCTGACAATATCGTTACCCTTCAGAGAATAACCGTAAAACCCTCCTTCTGGCATTCGGGTTCATTGGGTCCGCCACGAGTATGTTGTTCGTCTTCATTGCGCCGCCGGTGTTCGTCCTTGGGGCTCTCTTAGTGGTCATTGGAGTTACCTGTTTAGGATCGTCTTTTGTGGTACTCAATTCTTTCTTGCCCGTCCTGGTCGCAAATGATCCGTCCATCGAAAAAGCCCCCAAGGCTGCTGAGGAGTTGCACCCCATGAGTCCCGATGGAGAATACATTCACCCTAGAGACTCTTTCTCGGCCAGCGATGCAGAATCAGGGCCTCACCCAGCAGCAGAAGCCGGCTCCGGCACATCATCAGGCCCCACTTCGCCGGAGCTACAGCTGTCCACTCGCATTTCGTCCAAAGGTGTCGGGCTCGGGTACTGTGCTGCCGTTCTCGTGCAAATCCTGAGTATTTCGCTCCTGTTTACGCTTTCCAAGACGTCGATTTCGAAGGTTTCCGGGACGCTTCCGCTGCGATTCGTGCTGCTGTTGGTCGGTATCTGGTGGTTCTCCTTTACGATGGTCACTCGAAAGTGGCTGCGCGCTCGGCCAGGACCCCCACTGAATACCTCTAATACCGGTGGGCAGGTGAAACGATGGCGTGTGTGGTTGCGACTCGTCGGATTTGCCTGGAAATCTTTGTGGAAGACGGTTAAGATTGCGGTGCAGCTGCGGGAGGTTTTGGTGTTCCTAGCCGCGTGGTTTCTCCTATCCGACGCTATGGCCACGGTATCCGGAACGGCGATCCTTTTCGCGCGCACGGAGCTCAAAATGAGCACTACACTCGTCGGCTTGTTGTCCATCACCGCAACCCTGTCTGGCATGGCTGGTGCCTTCTTGTGGCCTGTGGTCTCGCGACGGTTCGGGCTGAAGTCGAACCATACAATTATGCTATGCATTGCTCTATTTGAGCTTATCCCTCTGTATGGCATGCTGGCATATATTCCTCTCTTCAAGAAGTGGGGTGTAATTGGTCTGCAGCAGCCGTGGGAGATTTTCCCGCTCGCTATTGTCCACGGGGTAGTATCGGGTGGCCTGTCCTCCTACTGCAGGTCCTTCTTCGGATTGCTCATTCCTCCTGGTAGTGAAGCTGCGTTCTACGCGCTTTACGCTGCAACGGACAAGGGCAGTTCGGTCATCGGACCCGCTATCGTAGGAATGCTCATCGACGCGACCGGACAGGTACGCTCGGGATTCTTCTTCATTGCGCCCTTGATCTTGATGCCAATCCCGCTCATCTGGATGGTCAATGCCGAAAAGGGCCGAAGAGAGGGACTGGCCATGGCGCAGCGTCTGGAGAAGGGTCACGAGACGGAGATGAGCGAACAAACCGAGGAAGCTGAAGGACTCCTGGCGAGGGGTATATAAGTAACGATTGGAGTTATATAACGCGTGCATGCGTACATGATAATGGAAATTTAGATCATGAATACATCTAGAGACTGAATATATTCTTAACGTCCTCTACCTATCCATACATATCGCAATCATATGTATCGTACAAAACATTATAATATAATATACACTTTTCCACCCCGCCATCTCTGGTATTCTACATGTATCACATACCATGTCCAACTCAAACATAGAAAAAAAAAAAAGACCAACGCCAACGCCAAAGCCAACGCCAATCCCAGACCAACCATACAAAACTCCTCCAATACAACCATCCCAAATCCACCGCGATTTATCTACCACTAGCAGCAGTAGTATTCCCAACATCAACCGGCCCATCCACAAATCCCCTGCCCCCCAAACTCTCATTCTTCTCCAAATCCGCCTTCTCGTCCGCCCCGGCAAAAGTCGACTCCCTCATAAACGGACTCCGCCTCCTAATATCAGGCCCCTTCAACACCAACACAACAGGAACCACACTCAACGCAACCCCAATAAACCCCAACAAACTCCCCGCCCAGCCATACCCCAAATTCTCAAAAAGCTGGTAACTAGCCAACGGCAAAAACGCCCCGAACGAATTCCTCCCCAGACTGGCCGCACTCAACGCCGACGCAGCATACTTCTCATACGCATCCGTCAGATAATTCACAACAGCCATATAGATCGAATAAATCCCCAATCCAGTCGCCGCAACCCCACACGTCGGGACTATCCAATGCACGTGCGGGAAACTGCTCCATCCGTACCAGAATAATCCGCCGGCGAATAACAGACTCCCGGGGATGGAAGTGTAGAGTCTTGCTTCGGGGATGGGGACGCCGGGTTTCTCTTTGTTGCGAGATGCAGAGCGCAGGTAGATCATGTCTTGGAGGGGGTTGACTAGCGTGCCGATTAGGGCGCCGACGGAGATGGCGAGTTGGATAAGGCCGGTTTGGAGGGTGTTCATGCCGTAGTTTGTGGAGAAGGTTTGCACGACGCTGCTGAAGAAGAGGAAGAGGATGCCCCAGGCGAAACTGATCCAGAGCGTGAAGAAGGCCACTACGGGTTCGGTGAGGAGCATGCGTGTGGGCCGTTCGAACGATACTTGGAGCAGTTTCCAGATGCTGGTGTGGTCGAGTTCTGCTTCGGCGTAGATGGGCCGGCCTGTTTCGCGGCGGAGCTTCTTTGCGCGTCGGGCTAGGATTACGTCTGCTCGTGTTTCGTATAGGAGGAACCAGAAGACGGGGATTAGGCCTGCGTTGTAGATTATTTGGATGTAGAAGATCCTGGTTTTGGTGGTTAGTTTTGGGGCTATGTTGGTGGTGGTGTTGTATAATTGTATGTTGTGTGGCTGCTCACTCACCATCGCCATGGGTCGTTTTTATGGATGGCTTGAATTGCGGACCCCACGAATGGCCCCAATGCGATGCCAATGACGCTTGTCAGGCCAAATAGCGACATGGGTACGCTTCGGGCTTTGTCGCCGTACCAGACATCGCTGATGCTGCCGCCTACGATGTTGATTGCTACAGACGAGGCGCCTCCCCCGAAGAAGCGGGTCACGACTAGGGTCGCGAAGTTCTGGGCGAATGCGGATGGGAATAGCGAGATGACGAGGATGGTGTAGGCTACGAAGTATCCTGGCATGCGACCGGATGATTCCGTTAAGGGAACGAAGATCAATGGCCAAAAGGCAGCGCCCATATTCCATGAGGTTGTGGCCCAGGCAAGGTTCGGGAATGGCTCATTCTGCACATGGAAGCGCTCGGCCATGTAATTGTTGCCGGCGCCATAGGATCCAGCGGGAATACCCGTGAGAATTGATCTAAGGAGTTTTTGTCTTAGCATATGTGGGAGTTCGTATAGGGTTGAAGTGGTCATGGCTGAGTACTAGTGCCCAACATACATAATGCAGACGGTGATGGTCAAGGTCCATTTGTAGGAATTGCTCCAGTTGAACCTAGATCATTTTCTCTCAGCGATATTCTCTAGTTTCCCGATCGGACATACGGGTTATCTGGATCATCTTTCCCGTTCCACGTGTGAAGCTCAATCTCTTGGTCACGGATATCATTATGGCTTACGACGCCGACATGGCGATCGCGATTGAAGAACGACCGCACCCTACATCATGTCACGGATTAATAAACTAAAACCAACTAGTCTCGAATTCGTCTCAACTGACCGGCCTAGGAACGAATCGTCGAAATTATTGTCATGCGATGTACTCGCCCGACGCAATGAGGGGGCTTCAACGGGATCGGACGACATTAGTGCAAGAATATGGGTCTCAAGGTCCCCAATTGATCATCAAAGATGGAGATGAATATGGAACTAGTGTTACTTTGTAGATACATCACTGCTATCTAGGACGAACATGCCTTGTTAGAAAGTGGACCCTTGGGAACCCACTTCGTGTCGTCATTGAAGCAACATTATCCGGTTGGCTCTGAGATTTTCTTGTAGGGTTTTCATTCCCGTCACACGCCCGCGCGATACGAGCTCTCATAATGCTCTACTAATGCTATCATAATCTCTGCGCATGTAACTCTTTGCATAGATAGTATTTTAAGTGGAAAAAAAAGCGCTACCATAACTTTCTCGTAATGCTTTCTAATGCGCCACAAAAA